CCTGAAGTATGTATCTCAAGAAGGGCAGTTCTTGAGGTCTCTTTCCTCCATTCAAGCCACCGATTGTCACTAAACTTGCCGGCCGGCCACGCAGGAGCACGGGAGCCGTGCTCTCGTAGCAAACCAAGCTAAAAAAGCCATCCCTCCACAAAGAAGGAAATCCAGACCATTTTTATTATATAGTTTGGTTATTTTGAACGTCATAACTTTATTGAGACACCAGTAGTTACCACCTTCACTTTGTTAACCACAAATATATAGGACATTGTAAACACAGGTGCCGAGGTGGCGGGGTTTGCTTTAGTTGGATTTCGGAACGGACAAGGGCGAGGGCCGGAGGGGGAAGAGGGGTGAAGGGACACTCGGGCTTAGACAAGACCACTCAGGGGATCCTGTATGCGGCAGGCCATCCATGAGTCATCGTATATACGTATATATGTATAGCTTTATATTATACATCTTTTTAAATATATATATATAATATATATACTATACACAGGCAGTAATGCGGCAGGGGAAGGGGCAGGGCAGCCCAGGTGGTGTTACAGATGCCACGCAGGCAGCAGGGAGTTGTCTGGATGGATGGTTTGGACTTGCTGCATGAGGTGGCCTCGCTGGGCTCCCTGCCTTGTACCTGCTCTGGGGACCGGAGCCGAGACTCCTGTGGGAACCACCCCGCAACGCTGCCTTCCCAGGTCCTCCCAAGTGCTTGTGAGGGTGCAGGGACAAAGACGCCTCCTCCCCCGAGGGAACTGCCAGGAATAACGCGGAGGGGAAGGGTGTGTGATGAGGTGATGAACAGTGTGGTGGGGACGTGGGTGAGCCGGGGATGGGGACACGTCAAGAGACTGAAGCCACAGGTAGAACTGGGACAAAGTTTCATCATCCCTTTGCCCTTCACAGCCCCTACTTCCACAAAACAGTCCCTTAACTGGGTGCTTCATAAGATAAGAAAACATCAAGGGGCTGTTGCTCCCAACAGGGGATGCGTAATCCTCTGTAATCCAGACAAATGGCAGAGGGGGAAGAAAGCCGCCTTATCGTTTTGCTTATACAGCATTCCCTCTGATCTCCTTATCCCTAGAGTGGGGCTGATCTCACCCACGTTTAGGATCTAAAAGGGACATGTTCCAGCCAGCTGCTCAGGTCTTGCCTACGATCACCAGAAATAGGCAGCACCTTATCAGAAGTGCCTAAGATAAGATAACCAGCCCTTTGGGTAGGTCTGTATCTCTCATCAGCTGCAGAACTAGCCAAATGCCACTGGAAATTGCATTTTAAAGAGCTACATGCAGACAAGGAGAGTCCCACCCCCAGGTCTGTCACCACCAACCCTCCGCTGCAAAGGCTAAAAGCAAGTCAGCCCAAGGAGAGTATGCCTTCTCCCATGAGCAAAAGCAAGAAGTTGCCCAAGTATCTGCTGTTATAGTGTCCCCTGCCACACCAATGCCTTTCCTATGACACAAAGGAAGGAGGAAAGGGACAGAGAGATGGGCAGTAACCTAGGATGAAGCCACCTGGCTCATCCCTCACTGAAGTGCCGGCTCTGAGGGGGAGGCTCATTCCTACCTGCAGCCTACCAGAGCCCATCAGCTGGTTACATGAGGGAAGCAAGCCCAAGAGGATAAAGAAAAGCTTGCTCATTAGTCAGCCCCAAATGGTGTTCAGCCATCTACATAACTCTCATGGGAGAAGGGGCATGTAAGACGCTTCTGTGCTATACCCCAAAACAGAGCCCCAGGTAGAACCCCCCCACGTATGGTCCGTACCTCTCCTCATGCGCCTGGTCCCTCACCCCCTCACCGAGGAGAGGGGACAGGTGATGGGCAGTTCCTCCCAAAAAGTACAACACATTTTTGTGCTGAGGGTTGGTTATTTATAACCTCCTCCTCCTCTTGATTCCCTTCAGACATCCAAAACGAAAGCACGAAGGATGACACAGATGAATCTGGGTGAGTACAACTAGTTTTTCTCCTCTTCCACCTCGTCATTCATTCTTTCCTCTCCCCTGGCAGGAGAAATGGACTGGAGGGAGCTCCCCCCCCCAGCCACAGTCATAACGAACCTCTCTCAATAAAGTAACCCCCTCCCAAGCCTAAATATTAGGCTAAGCCCACAGAAGAAGAAGCCCGAGGGGCTTCCCTCCAAAAAATACCCCTCCTATTTACAGTATTGCTTTCACTCACAGCCACAGAGCAAGGGATGTGTGCCCAGCCCCTCCTGGTGCATCCACAGGGCTAGCTGGTCCCCCTCTCCCATCCTCACCAGTGGTTAACCACCAGCAAGGGGGGGCAAGCCATGGGGAGGACAAGCCATGGGGAGAGCCACCGGCAGCACAAGTCTGCTGGTAGGAGCAGGTAGAAATGGTGCCTATATACAGCAGAGAACAACTGCCCCCCCTTCCCTCTTGGGGCCTGCAGCTCTACGTTTTTCTACCCCTTCCCTATCGTCGTGGGGCAGATGGAGAGGAGTCGTGCTGGGAGGGGAAGGACTGGTAACCTCAATGTCCTCCAGATGAGATGTTTACACAACCACAGGCCAGAACTGTGTCCCATCCTCCTGACTCCTAAGGGCGCTACAGGGAATAGGCTGGACGCTCAAGGGAAGCACCTACGGATTTTGGATCTGCTCGTGATCTCTGCTACTGGAGCCAGCATGGCATGGGGCAGGGTGGCTGCCCGGGGGATGGAGCTCCTCACTGCTGCAAGGCCTACCCTGCTTCTTGTACTCTGAGAGATGCCTGTGCTGGGGAGAATTGTCCAGATGGCTATTGCTGAATTATTTCCCTTTAGGGACCGTCTTCATGCATAGACATTACTTCTATCCTGGAATAAACAGTGTGCTTCCAGAGTCGTGTCTTTACCTAAAGCACAATGATGAGGAGTGTGGAATGATGTCAATGCGAGCTCTATCTGAGAGTCACTACTGCCACCTAGGTGAGGCTTTAAAGACAGCCAGGATTTGAGATGCCGCAGAAGATGCACTAAGGTATAGTCTATGTAAGTACAGTAAGACCAGTTTTCAGAGAGCTTGGTCTGGCCCCAACCAATTCTCTGTGCACTAAGACCTCCTCCACATCTGAGTGGGAGGCAAAGCACAGCTGTGAGGGGCAGGACCCTTCCCTGCTTGGTTGCACCCCTGTGCAAGAGCCAGACGCATGCTGGCCATCCCAGCAGCAGTATTTCTTTCCAGGGGGAGTCTTGCTCCATTCCTGTGTGCTACAAAGATGGTGTCAGCAAGAGGCTTTGCACTGTGGTAGCAAAGGAACCAGCAGGACCTGAGGAGCAAAACTGGCTTTCTTCTCCTCCTCCTGCCCAGGGTCAAATGGCAAAGCTCTCCTCTCCCCTCGAACCAGCCCAGCTGGGGACGAGGGCTCTCAGGGCCCCCTAGAAGCCCACCTCCTCCATCCTTCCTCCCACAGGGACTGCGCCTGGGGGTCAGGGACTGGGCATGGCTGCCCTCCTCCCTCACCAAACACTGGTCTGAGAATGGTGAGCAGGACGTACAGGTGAGGGGAACCCCCTCCACCTCAATCCAAGGGGGCTGGGGAAGGAGTGACTCTCATGCCCCTCTGCTCTGCCGAGTCTCTTGCTGTAACCTACAGACGTGCCTGTGGTTTTTGATTGTACCCGCAAATCTTCCTCCTTCCCTTCCCATTTTACCTCTTTGTGCTCCCCCCCAATACCACTTCTCCCCAAAACCTCTAAAAATAAAGCACCCCCCCCCTCACTAGTGGGTGGGAGAGAAAAGCCCACAAAAAAGCCCAGAAGTCTTTGCACAGGGGACATCATTCCCACTCCCCTCCAGCCCCCTCTCCACCCCTGCATATCTGCATGCTGACTCCAACACCATCCCCCTCCCTGAGCCACCAGACCCTCTGGCCCGATTCAGATGCTCCCACGTCTACTCCAGCCTTTAGCGACACCGTCTCTTCTAGGAATGTCCCCGGTCCCTCTCCCCCCTTTCCTTCTGCCTCCAGCACCCTCTCCCCTGCCCTGCTGGTGCCATTGCCCCTCTCCCGCTCACCGGCCAGACTCTGCCCTCCACAGCAAGGCAGGAGGGAGAGGAGGTAAGGGGGGACCTTCCTCTCACAACGCAGTGACAGATTTTGGAAGAATTTGGTTCTGGCAGGTAGTTTTGGGGGGAGGAGGAGGAGGAAGAGGTGATGGGGAAACCTTTTTTTCTTTTTTTTCCTTTTTTAAAAACCGTAAATAAAAACAGATGACCCAGAAGGCTGGAGCATAGCTGAGAGCCACTTCTTGTGCCACTACGCAGGTCTGGTTTGTGCCTCGGCTTTCTGCCGGCAGTGGGAAAGGGGGCAGAAAGGAAGGGGGAAGGGAAAGGGGCATCGGTGGCTCAGTAGTTCTGCGTTTGGTACCCCTGTGTCTCGGTGTCGAAAGCATCTGCCGGAGGGGGCTGCTGGTTAGTATC